AAAAAAAAAAAGTAACAAATAACAGAACCAAATGAATTATATAAAATTATTTTTTTTATATTTTATTTATATATATTATTTATTTTCAACAAACGATACTAAAAATATTTAATAATCAAGTATAAATACTAAATATATTTCCATAAAAGAAAAAAAAATAACTACACTTCACGTGGACATTAGTATCATATGAAATGCACATTATTGACTACTCGATTGCACTATAGCAATCGAAACAGCCAGACATAGTTTTGGGTTCAAATTTTATATATTGGTTTGATTATAAGTTTTTACTTTTAAAATCTTATGTATCTCGTATCGGTGACATCTTTATTAAGTAGAATAACCGAACCAACCAATCTATATAAAAAGTATTACTTTGCTATATATATATTTTAGGTATTCACAACCAAAAAATAATATAAAATATGAAATAAAAAATTTATATACTAAATATATTATAAACTATTTAGATTATTGATGTTATTTCGCTTAACTGATCGAATACACCAAATATTTCTGTTTTATTTCAATTTGGGGTAATAATTAAAAAAAAATTGTTGTTCGAGTGCAAATTAATGTTGGACATACTGCACATTAGTGACTGTCGGATTGCACTTTACTTTGTTTTTTGGGACACATCATTAAAAAACTTATGCGTATGAACCCACGACAGTGTTAGACGAGTTGCACTTTAATGATTTTCAGAATGCACCGTAGGAATCAAAACTAACCGAACTACAAATTTCGGTATGAATATTTATAACCATCAATAAATGCGCGATGACATTTTATTAAAGTTGGATAAATTTATGAAACAATTGAAACAACAAATGAACAATTCTAATATTTCGTAAATTTAACGGCATTTTTTTTAATATGCATGGTCCAATGCATATATAAATATTGTGCTTGAATTTAACTATTTTAATGCGCGATGACATTTTGGTAAAATTGGATAAATTTATGAAACAATTGAAACAACCAATGAACAATTCTAATATTTCATAAATTATAACGGCATTTTTTCAATATGCATGATCCAATGCATATATAAATATTGTGCTTGAATTTAACTTTTATAAAATTACAGCTTTGCCACAAATGTTATGAAACGTAAGTATTTTGTAACGAGTGCGCTCAACGTTGTTAGAACACAAATAAACAACTAGAATAGCGGAAGCGATAAACCGAAGATTTTAAAAACTCTTCAGGGAAGCGTCCCACTTCCCCTCAGAGCTCTTCCATTGATAAACCGTTTGTGCACACTTGTATAGTTTGGACTTACACGACTCGAACTCCCTTCTAGCCTAGCCACAACTACACACGATTCTATCAACTACTTCTCCGACCACGTCCCGTGGATTTTACCTCTCGAATCCCTCGAGCTAAAGACAGTACTTAATCCCTAAGCACTGATCACACAAGTGTTTGAATGAAAAACAAAGAAAGGAAAACAAAACAGACTTCAGTTCTTCGATGACGTAAGAACACCGAAAACTGACCAACGAAAATAAAACACAAAAAGCTTACAGCTCGAATATGGAATAGAATATAATGCTCTCAGCTCTCCAAATTCGAGCTTTAAGTGGGTATATATACAACCTCCTTACGGTTGTAGTCTTCTCCAAGTATAGGACTCCTTTTGTTTTTGATTTCCTTCCAAGTTTATCCAAAGAGATATGGTAGGTGTAGATCTCTATCTTCTCTTTCCAAAGATCTTTCCTTCTTATATGATTTCCTACAAGATATATCCATAATAAGATCATGCAAATCTAATATATATGTATATAAATCGAATGTATAAATATAAATATAAATAAATTCGAATATATAAATATAAATATAAATAAAAGAACTTCTCTTTTTATTTCTCATGCTTGCAAGAATATATCTTCACTTATATTAATTTTTGAACTTCATTGCCAAAAATATAACTCTTTCAATCTCCCCCTTTGGCATCTAGTTCGAAAATCATATAATGAAGATAACCTGAAACACAGTTAGAACAGCAAGCACGAATATGCAGAATAATATCATAAGGAACA